GTAGAATATGGCAGAGTTAAATAAAAATATTAGATACATGCAGAAGAAAAGTTACAGTGGTGAGAATTTATATTCGTCTAGGACTTTATAGTTTTCATAGCAATTTTCATATAGTTCATGCCATTGAATTTGCAAAATAACTGTGTAAATAGGCTAGATAGTATTATCCCTATGTTACAGATGAGGAACATGAGGTTTACGGAATTTCCCCCAAATCTCACAAGTGGCAGAGTGAGGATTTAAACCCATACCTCTTAAACCACAATCCCTTGATCTTTCCAAAGCAACTGCATACTCTCTGAGGAGAGTTCAGCTGCTCGTTATATGTGAGACTCCATTTTTATACTGACACAATCCAGTGTCTCATTCTGAGGCCCCAAACTTCAAACGTTAAACGGGGTTGAGAAGCTAGGTAACTAATTGGGAACCTGCACAGAAAAAGCAGATGAAATCCCTGTCTAAGAGAAATAGCAGGAGGCCCTCTGAATGGTTAAACAATGATCTCTGCATAAGAAGTGAGACTCAAGTACTGAACCAAACTCCAAGCTGAATCTCCCTTGCTAACTGCATGATTTCTGGCCTCTTTCCTAGAAACTCCCCATCAAGTTTCTGGACGCTCAGCCACAAAGGCAGGGGAAGGTTATTTGAGACAGAGCCATTCTGATATACCTGAAATTTTCTCTTCTTCTGCAGATGGCCTGTTTCACAGGGAGTGTCAGACTGCTGAGTCACTTGCTGAGGGATCAGCTCAAAGACAGGCCCCTATTGATGTGACTGCTCAGAATAAGGCCAGTCTGGTGTCTCAAGAATTTAAGACATTCATCAGCTGCATTCTTTATATTCAGCTCATAAAGTAGACCTGTGTGTGTGTCCATGTCCATTTAACACTTGAAATTTTTGGTTGTAGGCACACACTACCTTCTACATTCTTTCTCCTTGAATAGGTGCTTTTACTCTGGGAGAGTTTAAGCATATTTTTATCTCATTAATAGTGTTACCTGTATGCAGCAAAAGTTTGCTCTTATTTAAGAAGTAGTATTATTTCCATCTTGAAAACCTGGCCTTTTCTTTCTGTGGTGCGTTTTCCCAGAGCAAAGGAAGAAGAGACCTCAGGGAGAAGGACTCAAGGAATCCACAGCTCTGCATTTTCCCTTCTTTTG